CACCCTGTCCCTAGGACAGAGATGTGGCAGGTGGAGCCCTGGTCTGCTGAGATATAAGATCCAGCCAGAACCAGAGGAGTGGAGGGTCAGGAGCAGAACAAGCTCCCCTGACCGAGATGTCCCTTACAGTCATCCCATAAACAAGTCCCAGGTCCCCACCCTAAGCCAGGGCCTGGGGGCCCCAAAGAATAGGACACAGTCGCTGTGCTCAGGGAACTCAAGTTAGGGAAAGAATCGGACAGCCTGCAAGCAGAAGTCGCAATATTATTTCATCAATGTCATCCCTTTTGTGATGGGACACTCCTGTGGTGAGCAGGTTGGTGGAAGGTGAGGATTGTGGTTTTAAATCCCTTACGGGCGGTTAGCTTTCGCACAAAGGGAAAAAGCGTCCTCGCCAGAGACAGACTCCTATCTGCGACCACAGGCTGTCTGAGCCACAGAATGAACCCAAATGACAGTCACAAAGAGACCCCTCGGGCCAGGCACACCACACACACTGACCCCCAATCCCAACCACAGAAGGAACCCCACCCAGTCTGAGTTCCCAGGACAATCCCTCGCCTCTTTCTCCGTTCCCAGCTCTGACCTTGCGCTTGGGGTCTGGGCAGTAAAGTCACAGGCTGGGAAATTCCTGCGCTGAGCTCAGAGAGGAGAAGGACAGAACACAGGGGAGGAGGAGGGAGGGCCATCTCCTGACTGCAGCTGCTGAGTTTTCCCTGAGGCTGCTCTGCTCCGGGCCTGCCTGAGGCCCCTCCCGCCAGCCTTCATGGGAGAGCACAGCAGGGGCAGGCACCCGGTGGATGCTCATAAATCATTTTTTGAAAGAATGTGTTAAAAATAATCCCTGCTGTGGTCCAGATTCCTGAGCACCCCTGCCTCACTCCCTCTGCTCCACATTTCCTCGCACTCCAGGCTCCCCACCTCACAAGTACCGTCTACACCCTCTGACTCTCACCATCGCCACCCATTCCTCAACACACAGCTGTCTGCTGTTCACCCCACCCCTCCCAGGGCTGGTCTGAGTTACATCCCCAGCAACTGCCAGGCCACGGGGCGCAGTGGCCACTGTGCACTCTGCACCATACTTGGCCTCTCCGCAGCAGCTGACACCGCTGCCAGTCCCACTGCCACGAAATGCTCCTCTCTCCACGTCTTGGCCCAGCCTCCTCTGCAGAGACCCCAGCACCAGCCTTTACCTGGGGGGTTCCCTCGAGGTGCTGCCCCAGGAACCTCTCTTCTCGCTCCATCCTCTCCCTGGAGAGCTCCCTCATCCCAAAGCTTCCATTCCCTTCTCTAGGAGAAGGGCTCCCAGATTTTTACCTCCAGCCCAGAATGTTCTTCTGAGCCTCAGGCATATCCAACTGAGAGGTGACCCCTCGACAAGGTGTGGTGGCTCGCACCTGTAATCCCAGCACTTTGGGAGGTCAAGGTGGGAGGATGGCTTGAACCCAAGAATCTGAGAGCAGCCTGGGCAACACAGCAAGACCTCATCTCTACAGAAAATGTTTAAATTAGCTGGGCTTGGTGGCACGTGCCTATATTCCCAGCTACTCGGGAGGCTAAGATGGGAGGATCCCTTGAGCCCAGGAGAGGGAGGTTGCAGTGACCTAGGAACGAACCACTCTCCTCCAGGCTGAGTGACAGAGCACGACCCTGTCCCTTAAAAAGTTGTTTTTAATCTAAAAGAAGAAGAATTGAATCCTAACCCTCCCTCCTGCAACAACGTTTATCTCAGAGAATGGTTGTCCCACGTCTCTAGTGCTTACAAACCTGGGAGCCATTCTCGCCGCCTCCTTCTCCCCAAATCTCCCATCTCATCAATTTACCACCTGCAAAATCTGAGCTCCAACCACTTCCAAACCACCCCACCAGCCCCTCCAAGTCAGTCTTCCGTCCTCTCCCCTGGATCCTGCAACGGCCTCGGCTCATCCCCTCTCCACTCTGTTCCCTGCCACGCATTCGCCATATGACGCTGGGTGATTTTCCAAAAGTCTCATCTTAATCCTCTGGGTAACATCATCAATGACTCCAGTGCTCTTAACTAGGAATAAACTCTAAAATCTTCAGCAAAATGCCCAAGCGTCTGCTTGATCTGGTCCCTGCCTATACGCCCAGCCTCTCCAGCGCAAACTCTGGCTTCACCAGCCAGTCTCATCTCCTTCCCGTTCCTCTTGGTGCCGCCTTCTCTCTCTCGACTGCCTGAGGGCATGTGCAGAGGTCCACAGCAGTGCTTCTCAAGCTGCTGTGTGTATACAAATCACCGTGAAATGACGGTAAAATGCTGACTCTGGGCCGGGCGTGGTGGCTCACGCCTGTAATCCCAGCACTTTGGGAGGCCGAGGGAGGCGGATCACAAGGTCAAGAGATCGAAACCATCCTGGCCAACATGGTGAAACCCCGTCTCCACTAAAAATACAAAAATTAGCCGGGCGTGGTGGTGGCCGCCTGTAATCCCAGCTACTCGGGAGGCTGAGGCAGGAGAATCGCTTGAACCCAGGAGGCAGAGGTTGCAGTGAGCCAAGATCGCGCCACTGCACTCTGGCCCGGTGACAGAGCAAGGCTCCATCTCAAAAAATAAAAATAAAAAAATTAAAAGCTGACTCTGATTCAGTGGTGGAACCTGACATTCCGCATTTCTAAGGGGCTCGTAAATAATGCAGGTGTTGCTGGTCCCTTGGCCTCACTTTGAATAGCAAGAATCTAGAACACTCTCCTCCACTCGGACTCCACCTTAGCCTAACTAGCACGTATCCAATTTTCAGGGCTCAGCCTAAACATCATTTCCTCACAAAAAGCCCTACGTAACCCTCTCCGAGACTAGGCTACAGTCCCCCCACCTCCTAACCTTACGTTCCCCCTGAGCTATGCTGTGCTTCTCCTTCAGAATATTCACCATGTTTAACTGTCCAGCCCTCATTCCTGACATTATTTTTCCATTTTTGGCTCCCTAGCTAGACTACAAGGTCTAGGAGAGCAGGGACCACAACGTCTGGTTTACTACAAGGTCCCCAGAACCCAGCACCGGGCCTGGCTGAGCATGAGCACATGTGGCAGAAAGCTGTGGGTCTTGCCTGCCCCGGATCCCTTTCCCCTTCTTCTCTTGACAACACTGCCATTTTCCTCTAGGACCCACCCCTGCAATTCTCAGTTCTTATGGTTTAGGCGGGTGGTCATGAGACCCAGGTCTGGCCAATCAGAGCCTTTCATCTCTCTGGTCACAGTGATTGGTTCAGGGACAAACACGTGACCTAAGCCAGCCAATGAGCTTCTTCCCTGGGACTTTGTTAGAACTACTGGGGAAAAAAAAATACTTTTCTTTGCACTGGACTTACTTCGCAGGTAGGAGCTGCTGTCACCATCTGGCCACCACAAAGGCAGCTTGACAGAGAATGAAACCAACACAGAAGAGAGAAGGAATGAGAATGATCTCGTGGATGCAGTCATGCCTGCCATCTATGCTTGCAATTGCAAAGGCAAAAAATTCCCTTTTATGTCTAAGCCAGAGTGAGTTATGTTTCTGTAACTTACAACCAAGAGTCCTAACTAATACAATATTCAAATAAATACTGGGTATTAAATGAATTAAATTAGTGCATGAGTAAGTGAAGTCAGCCAAGAGAATTCAGGGACTCCTCCTACGAGACTGTCAGAGTTCTCCCTGCAAACTCCTGCCATCCTTGAGGACAGAGACAAGCATCCCACAGCTACCTTTGTAGACCAAGGGGACACTTGGAATAGTGACAGGCTTCTTAGCATTACCCTGTGCAAAGGGCCAGGCTGGCACCTGGCTCAGATACCAACACTGAGCTGGGTGCTGGGGCAGACACTAGGCTAGTGAAGGTGGTCTGGCTTCCACTGCCCCCTGGGTACTGTACCCTGTCCTGCCCCCCAACCACTGCTGACCACTTAACCTACCCAGGGCAGGCTCTGGCTGCCCCTCAACACGTAGGCTCCTCGAGGCATACCGCGTGGCTGTGTGTGTGATGGGCATCAGATGCAGGACAACAACAGGAAGATGGATGGGTTTTATCTGCTTCCTATGGGTTGTCATCTTGCAAGAGATTAGGTTTAGGGAAGAGGAGGGGTGATGCAGAGCAGCGAGGAAGAGATGCCTGATGATCCCCTGTGAGCCACTCAGAGCACAGCCCCAGGATAGAGAGAGGAGCTGACCTAGATGTCCCCTTAGATGACTCAAGGGGCAGGTGACTTCTTCAGTGCTAGTCCTCACTCACCCCACAGAGTGCGAAGGAGGGAGGGAGGGAGGGAGGGAGGGAGAGGATGCCTGCCAGCCTACACAGAAACACTGGCTGAGCCAAAAGTCTTCTCTGAGGACCAGCTCAGGCCTGTGTGGCCATCCCACCAAGGCGTCAAACTGAAAAGAGATGGGGGAAGGTCATGGTGGCTACAGGGCACTGCACCCTCGGCTCCCGTCCAGGAGTGAGAAGGTCCTGGGCCTGGCAGCCTGGACTGTGGTCTCCCCAGGAAAACGGCTCACGAAGGAAGTGCTGATAGGAAAATAACTGCCGCCCCGACCCGAACCTCCAGCCAACCCCTCCACGGGTTCTGGTGCGAACAGGCCCAGCTCAGAAGGGCCAGCCAGAGGCAGACAGACCAGCATGCAGGCACCCTTCAAGTCCCAGGAGGGTGCCGGCCACAGCCCAGCCCCGGGCAGTCCTTTGGGGCAGCTGCCTTCTGTCCCCCGACTTCCTCCTGGCTGGGCCCCTTGTTCCCAAACTCCACTACCAATTACCAAGAGTCCCGCCAACCCCATTTCAACCCCAGTCAATGTCCTCACCGCCCCTTGACACAGACACACTGAGTCTCCTGTCACACTTCCCCCCTCACTGGTGCTTAACTGGACGTCGCCTCCTCCGAGGGGTCGGGACACTCCACAGCCCCACTTCGACGGACGCTGCTGGGCCTGGAGCTGAAGCCACAGCAAGGCCTCACGACTTCCCCACACGCTCCCCTCCCTGCCTCCCTGAATCAAAGCCTCTTACCTTCATGGTGGGAGGAGCCGTGAGAGGAGGCGAGAGCGGCCGGTCTGGGAGGGTCACATCCGAGCTGTTGGCCAGCTCCTGCTTCCTGTGAAGAGGCCAAAAGAGGTGAGTGAGGACCTGCCTGCGCCTTCCCTTCTCTCCTCCAAGAGTGACTAGGCTCTGGGACACAGTTTAACATACAATGCAGGCCAGGCTGGGTGGCTCACGCCTGTAATCCCAGCACTTTGGGAGGTCAAGGCAGG